CAAGACTAGATACATTTAATGAGAATATAATGAGTGCATCAACAAATGTAAATGCTCTTTTGAGTGAGTTATCTACAGTTCGTTTTGAATGGAGTGAAACATCTGTAGATAAGGAGAAAATGGCAGCTTTGGAAACTAATTTTGTTAAAGTCAATAAACTTGGTAAGGCTACTAATCAAATAAAATTAGAATTCAGTCCATTTATGCAGAAAAAAAATGAATTAAGAGAAGCAGTTAAATCTATTGATTGTACTAAAGATATGTCTCAAATGTAAGTAAACTTTATTTTATTTATTTTCATAAAGTTTCGAATTAAAAGATGTATACATTTGTATATAAATGTATAGGTATAATAAAGCTACAAAAATATATGAGCTGCATAAAGACGAACGTTCTCATAGATGTGCAGAACCAACAGATTAAATTGATATAAATAATTTTTTTAGACAAATATTAAAATTAGAAATGGAACTTAAAAAATTGGAAACTATTTTTGACTCAGTTATTACTATGACAACAGTCTATAAGAAAGAACTTAAAAATATAATCCAATACAATTGTAACAACATGGTTGATATTTCTAATCAAGAATGTTTAAATACATCCAACACTATCAACAAGGATATAAAAGTTTTATCAAGTAATGATAGCATGAAAGTGTCAAATAAATTTAATAGTGCTCAATTTTCAAATACGTCTGTTATTAAATGCGGAGAAATTACGGATGCAGACAATGATGTATATAATAACTTAGTAATGCGTTACACGTATGTTTAATCAAAGTTTTTATTATAGAAAGTAGTAGGTACTTCATATATAAATTGAAACTATAAATTATTTTTATTTTTTACTTTACCAGATTAGATAACTTTTTCACAAAAGTGCGAAATAAATATCTGGAATGCCTTAGTTTGGAGCCGTAAGCATACAATCGAAAACATAGGTATTACACTGTACTTTGCTTTATCGTTTTCTTACCTTTTGTTAATATTTTAATACCTTCAAATATAAAATATCATTTTTTATTTAAATTTAATATTTGTTTAAATAATGTTTAATATTTTTATAGTATACATATATTATTGTACATACTTATTCATTTGTTTATGTTTGCAGTATTTTTTAATATTCTTGGAGCTCTTGGAATATAATGCCGCACACCCCATTTAATATTAGCATGTTTATCTGTTTTGAGAAATGTATAAGTGGGTCCATTCAACATAGTCTTTTGTTTCATCCTCCGTCTAACATCATTGGATGGTATTAAAAGATCTGTGTAATATTATCTATTAATATAAAGAGTATTGAAGATATCAATTCATTAAAGAATTTATTAACACTTTCTGTGCCACATGTACTACTGGTGGTACACAATAGTTTTCAAAAATGGAACTTCCATTAAATGAAAAAAAGCTATTCCTTGACTCAATGCTCATGCAAAATATGTATAAAGGAAAATTATAATGTTAAGTATTCAACCCATATTTATATTTTCCTGTAAGTAAATATTTTAATGTGATTTTTTAACTTTATTTCAACATTCTGGTAAAACTTATAATTTTCCCGTGGCACGGAATGTGTTAAGATAATAAGTAGCTAATTTTAGCATAAACAAATAAGAAATTTCAAATATTCTGTATTTTTCACTGTTGTTCGTAGTTCATGTTTGCATATTTACACAATAATGGAAACATAATTTATTATATTAAAATGTAAAAAAAATGTAAATTTTTAATATATTATTTAAGGGAATAAATATTACTGAAAGCTATTTATATTGCCATTTAAACCATTTCTCTACACTCAATAGTTTTTGAAATATTGAAGGAAATATGTTTTTCACCATTGTTTTAAGGATCATTTTCACCCTCTGGATGTGGACGATTGTCAATAAAAAGAAATACGTGTCGAATATTTTGTTTTGAGCACTACATCATAGATAAATTTCATTAAAATCAGAGTGTGACATTTAAGTAATATCCCTTGTAAGTATAATTAAAATATTTGTTATACTTTCCTTATTTATATGTACTAAATAAAATTATGTTAATAGCTAATTATTTCAAATACAAAGATAAAATATTTTAAGAAAATATAGCGTAAAAATGAATTTATTAACATGATTATAGAAGAATGTATTTTAGATGCTATTGAGTATACCTTCTTTAAACACCACACATAGAAATAAGTATACAAAAATGCATTTTAATACCTGTAACAGAATTTATTATTGTTATATATGTACAAAGCTAAAATAATACAATCTAAAAGGAGATGATTGTACATGAAAAACAAGTCCAAATGTAGAGTAATTATTTTTTGTGTGAAGCTTCATTCTGGTACAAATTACTGTTGAAAATTTATGGAATATATGTGTATTTACATGTAATCTCGCTTGTGTTTCAAGCTAACGGATATCACTGAAGACTACTTAGCAAATAAGTAAAAAAAAAGATGGTTTGTTTACAAATTGTTTTTATAAATGTAAAAGCTACTAAAAATGACTCCTATTTTTCTACTAATATAATTGTCCTATATGTCACATTTTATGAACATATTTGATTTACTTGAAAGCGAATCTTCGTATGTAAACGTTTCTTTATATTTTCGACTTGTTTCATGTAGTATCACCTCCTTTCAGCTAGTACCATCTGTTTGGTGATATTGTTTATACCACATTTATTCTCAATGAAATTGTACTCACAATGCAGATGTTTAGACCTTTAAGATTCATTGTGATCATCGCAAAAGTAGGATGCTGACTGTTTTTATAATAGAACTATCGCTAGTTTTTATACTTTGTATTGAACAAAAAATGTTATGCTTAAATGAATATGTAGTGCAGATGTTTTATTATACTTTCATTTATACAAGTATTTGATAATATATGTGGTTCTCTTACTTCCATTTTTCTGAATTCTACATATTCAATAAAGATAAAATAAAAGAGAGGAACAATAGTTACATATTTTAAAATGTATTTTATTAAAAAACTGTATACACATTCTAAACTGAGGATTAAACAACAATGTTAAAATAAATATGATTTTCATTTACTATTACTTTCCCTTCACTGAAAAATCATACACACCATACTATTTTTCTAGATTGTCCACATACATCAACGATTATGCAATTTCACGTATAAAAGTTCATTGTACATTAACTTGACAAGTAAAAAAAGAGGAAAAATGCCAACTTTTTTAATATTTGTTTATCCAATCTTTCAAAAGAAATAGGTATTATTCATTGTCACTGATATCTTCATCAGTTGTGAACTCGGAATGTTCGTCAGCTGCATCTATATCCTCTGCAGTTTCTTCATCTGAAATATCCCACTGAGGATGTTCTGTGGGTATTTCAGGTGCTTCTTTCACATCCAACTAAAGACAAATATTTTTATAACAATTACAAAGTAATTTTAATAATAATAAAATAAGGCATAATTGCACAAATCTTTGTTTGCACTATATAAATAATATTTTATCACATACCTTAATATCTTGAGCTTGATCAAAGCCCAGATAAGAATCGCTACGTAAACATACAGTAAATGTATAAACACCTGGCCATCGAGGTGCTGTAAATTTTAACTGTACTTCTTCAAAGTGCGCTAACGATGTAACATAAATAGGAGTTGTTAGTAAAGTTTGACTCT